TGATTGTGGTAGTGATGTTTATAAACCCTGTCTCTTATACACTTCTAGATGTATAGATATATAAAGGTTAGTTTAGTGCAATAAAATAGATTTCCAAAATTTTGAAATTCCAGCATGTTTTGGCCATTATCTCCAAAACAGGATTTGGGACGAGTGACTGGTTTGGCTTGTCTTTGCCACATATGTATATTAAAACTTGAACATGTTGTAGCTAAAAATCTTCAAACCCTATTCTGTGTTTTTGCAGAGTCACGGAAGCTGAAGCCCGCCCTCGCATGGAGCGTAAACCTTTGAGATCATCTAAGAATTCCTACAATAATGACATGAATGGTGCAGTGAAAAATGAGTACACAGATGCAACCTTCTCAGTCCCACCGCCAGCAGCTCCAAGTAAGATATCCCTTCACAATGTATCTTGATGAAATAAGAAATGATGATGATGATGATTGTGGTAGTGATGTGTATAAAACTGATGGGTGATATTATTTTGGTTATGTTAATGGTGGTGATGATGATGGTAATTATTATGGTAGTTATTGTGAAAAGGATGTTGGTTTTAACAATTAACATGATATTGTTAAAGTTGTTGATGTTAACAAAAAAGTGAATGGCGGTAAGGCCAAAAAAAAATAAATATTGTTCGTTTGCCCTCCTCATCTGCCCATAACTCACTGAAAAAAAAATAGGGGCAGCAAAACAAAACAAAAAATTTGAAAAAAAAATTGTTTAGCTTTTTTCTTTACAAATTAAAAAAAGTGTGAGTGAATTGATCTTTATATTTTGCCAGATGCCCTACAAAATTGTCTAAAGTTGTCATCTGATGTAAGATTTTGCCATTCTAGGCCTACATTTATTGCAAAATGTCAACTGATGGTATTATTTGTTTTTATGCTTATTTTATTCCATCTGATTAGTAATCTGGAAAACCCGCCCCTTTTTATCGTTTAAAAAGAAGAAGGGCAAACAAACAATTTATTGTTTAGGCCTAATGTGGTTATGGTGGGCTTTTGATAAAAGGTTCATTTTCAGATTAAACTAAATCAGCATGTATCAAAAAAGCTACATATGTTATCATTTAAAATAGTCTGTAAGTAATGAGAAAATAATTCTGAAATCTTTGTTTGTTCCGAATTGCTGATTTTTAAGACTTATTTACAGTAGTTTGGTACACACATTTCCAAAGTCAAACATTGATTGAAGGAGGCAAAATATAATGGAATGATAGTTTTTTATATCAAACAGTATATAGTACCGCAAAACCTCGAATTTAAGCCCTGGGTTTCTTCTTTTATTTGAATACCTTGATGGGCTTCTTTTCGAAATGGGCTTCTTTTTGAGACTACTTTTGCAAAGTAAAGAGGGGGGTGCTTCTTTTCAAAATGAATGCTGTAAATTTTGTGAACTTGTATAATTAAACAATAAATAAGGTCATTGTTACATCAATCTGTATTATGGTGTGTATTTAACTGGCATTAAATCACCTAAACTAATGTAGAATCCAAGCTTGTTTTTAATTTATTTTGTTTTCTGAAATTCATGCACAGTGCATGTATTGTACTAACACGAAAAGTAGCCTATACTATTTTGAAAAGAAGCCCATGGGCTTCTTTTCGAGGCTAAAGGGGGCGCTTCAATTCGAGATCTGCTTCATCTCGAGATTAAGCCCACTGTGCTTCGATTAAAGGTTTTACGGTATGTATATTATTAGAGTTCATGAAAATAATGGTGATTTTGTTCATTTTTTAAAGTGAGCCCTCTGTTGATATATCTGAATTCACTAATACATTTTTAGAGAAGTTTAATTCTGCCCTCTATTGTTTAAAGTGTAGTTACAGTACTCATCATTAATTGGCTAAATTAATTCCTGTCTGTTTCAGCAACAGATGATGAGTATGTAATGATCATGTGTAAGTTTTTTTATGAATTTGATTTGGGTTAAACTATTATTATTTATTAATAAATAGGTGGTAGAACAAAATCTTTACTGATCCCCAAAAATGGTGAAAGGTGTTTTCTTAATCCATTATTCTTTAATCCTTACGCTGCCAGGTCTTCTCTTATTCAGTCAACCAGAGCGCCAGCTGATAACATTACTTCTAATCCCCTGTGCCAGCTACTTATTTAACAAGGTCACTGTAACACTTATTTTTGATAGTGTATATTATTTGCTCAATAATTCATAAACTATTGAGATTATGAAAATATAAATCTGAAAACAATTAATTAGCATTAGTTGTTTTGTACATATATGCTTTTATTTCTGCATTTTATTTATCATTTAGTGGATAAATTAGAGGAATATTTTGTCAAGGCCTATCACAAATAGTATATTGGGCCTAGGCCTTTTAGCAGAGTATGTGTTTTCAAAGTCAAATTACTTGCTGATGAAAATCAAAATAACGAATCCTAGGCCTACGTACATTTACTAACATCACCATCACAGTCCAGGCCTAGCTAGGCCTAGGCCTACTAGGCTAGGTCTGCCTAGCTAGGCCTGGGACCAGAACATCATTTTCAGCTATAACAACTACAGAAGTAAAATTTCTTAGCATTTCAAACATCATATTTTCAACTTGCAAAAACTTCTAACAAAACAACACCCAGCAAGTTTCACATCAAAATGTGCAGAAATTCATTAGCTTTGATATCAGTAAATACTACAGTATTTGGGTTAGTGTTAAAACAGCCACTCTATAGTCATTTTTTGGAAGACCTTCACCAATTCGCATTTATGCAAAGGTGGCGTACGGCTGACAGGGAGCCTGATCGCATTTATGCGTAACTGGCATGCACACCAACTGTGCGGTGTTCGCATTTATGCGAAGATGGCAGCGTAAGGGTTAATAGAAAATATATCATAACTTGATACATTTAAAATTTCCTATTGTTTTGGAAATTTTGGTGATTTTATATTATGGTTTGGTGGTAATTATTTGGAAAATATTATTTGAGGAGGATTTAGGCTTTTATTGGTTTGAGGGCAGAATTTGAAATTTATGTGTGTGACATTCATAAATGGAAATGGAGCAGTTGTATAGACTGTAGTCTGCACCAGTAGATTTATCATACTTAATGTGCAATGTACTCACATAAAAGCAATTCATAGTACTTTATTTATATATTTTTACTTATTTTATGTTATATTTTATATTTTTTTAGTTTGAAACCATAAGACATGCATGTAATAATGTATGTAACTCCCACCCACAAGCATTCGCTAAAGTTAATGTTTACTAATGGCTATAGAACACATTTGCCTCTTTCTCACATGATATCTGAACAAACTTGCATTATCTTAATTAAAATTTTGAGTAAGGGACTTTCTCCTTCCCAGTATTTATATTTTATATGTAGATTTAATTTTTGCTCTAAGTTTTTAAAATATTTCAGTCAAAAAGGATGAGAAAACTGGCACTCGTCCTTTGATACCATGGATGTATGACTGAAATGTTTGGTCTCAAAAGCAGGTTACACTTTCTTCCTCTTAATGGAAATAGTTTAGTTTGTGAAGCAAGTTGCTGCCAGTCCCATTAGTAGAATTGTTATTAATATTACTTGTAGCTATAATATTAGTTGTATAGAACTGTTGTTACTGCTAGCTATATTATTAGTGATATAGAAACTTGTAGCCATATTCAATATTTTATTTGTTTGTTGATGTAACATTTTTAAAGATGTTACTGTGTTTACAATCAAAATACGCTTTATTATGGCATGTGGTAATATTAATTGACATTGAGTGCACAAGTTTATTTTTTAAATATAAAGAATTAGGTTTATTGTTTGTGGCGAATTATGATATTCTTGAATACTTGCATTGTTCATTCCATGGATGTCGTTGCAAATATCAAGGCACTAACATTGTGTGTTGTGAAGACAATTATAATTTACTGTATGATCAATACTCCATTATTACAACACGCAATTGCAATTTTTTTTTTTGTGCACAATGAAAACCAGTCGTGAATATGATGCAGTCCTTTTGAAGGCAAAACATTTTAACAAAATCAATACATATTGTTTTCATATTATTCATATGTCAACCTCATAAAGATGGAGGAAGAGGATTGTTATGCCATATTGGGAAGCTACTTTTACTTTTTAATGCTTTTGTTCATTAGGACAGTTGGAAGTACCTGATTGGTCAATCAACAGGTTGCCCATTAACCAATCATATCATTCCACCTTATTGATAATCTTGTTCAGTTATTGATCCATTACTGGTTATTTGATGTCCTGTGTTCTTGATTAAGCTCTTTTGTTTATTTTTCTTAACCTAATATATTGAACAACTCCTTCTTTTGTTGGAACAATTTATATATACAGCAATTTTTTTTGTGATGATGAAAATAAATGAAAAATGCAAGATCTCCATTTTTAATCTTGCAAGGTGATTACTATATTAGATTTTTGTAATTTTCTCTGAGGCTCGCATATCAATCCATCCATTCATATGTTACTTCCCACCCATCCATCTATTCATCCATGCATCCATCTATCTGTGTATCCATTCATTTATAATCTTTGGATTCATATTCATATAAAACTAGATATATATCCATTAATTTTTTTAGGTGATGAAGATTAAAAATGCAATATCTCTATTTGTTTTTATTTTGCAAGTGAATATAATAGTTTTCTGTAATTTTGGGGCTGATCTATCCATTAATCTATTGAAATCTATTAAACCTTACTCACTCATTCAATAATCTGTTACATAGACAGTGACATTTTTGGTTCATTCCTCTCCTTTTCCATTCTCCGTCTTATTCATTTGTTGTTTCCTTCCTCCCTTCTCACCCATTCTTTATTCAACTCACTTGATAAATGGTATACAAATATTGACTGCTCTAGATTCGGGGAATGGTGAAATCTATTGCCCCTTGGTGATGTGGAGATCGTAGCCTATCTACCTGAGGGCCAAAGATAGGCTACGGTCTCCACATCACCGAGGGGCTATAGATTTCACCGTTCCCTGAATCTAGAGCAGTCAGTTTTTGTTTTATATACCTCATACATAGATTCTACGAGGCTTAAAAAAGTACTTACTTTCTAGCCTAGAGGCCTACTACTGGCAATCAAAGAGTGTCCAGCCTAGCTTTACTTTGCTCATTTCCTCAATTTCAGCAGCACCCATCGTCTTGCAATATTTGTCGAATATTAGCAAGATATTTAATTTGTCTTTTGGTGCTTTTGCTATCGGCTTCATCAAGAAGTAATGCTAGACCTAGGCTAGACCTTCTTCATCCAGGAGCTCGAACGGACCAGCCTCTATATTTTGTTTATCCAGCTACTAGCTGATCTGTGGCACGATCAAGGGACAATCTGTGTTGTCGTAGAGGCCTCAGTCCTCGCGACTGTCAATGCGATGTTAAAGTGGGGCGTAGAAT